CTTTCCGTGTGTCGATGCTACACATATCTTCAGGGGCAAGGACAGGTTCATAGCCCTTGCTATCATAGTCTTTTGCCTTTAACAACCTTCCATTAGGAACAATGGTTCTGCATTCATCCAATGCTTTAAGGTCAGTTTCGTTATAGTATGACTTATGATTTTCACTGAAAATTGACTCATGAAACTTGAACATTGTCGCGCTGACTTTGTTGTATTATTCCTCTGTTTCCACCAAGATATCATCATTGATTCTATCATGGTCACGGTGCTGTGTTACAATGCTGTAGGTTACCGTTTTCTGTTTCTTGCCTATCTTGTGTGTTAAATCAGACTTGATTTCTACTGCCCTACCTGCTGTGTGCCTAACCTGTGGTTCATATCCTGCTCTTTTCATGTCATACATTGCTTTGTTCAAATCATTGCCTTTTTAAAACTAATCTGTATTCCTCTTCATCCTTTAAACTCATCACATCATCGATACCATCAATCATTTTGTATTTAAGAGGTTCTTCTCTGTGGTTGATGTAATAGTTGTTTCCAATCCTGAACTTGTAGAGTTGATCAACACTATCTTTCCTTTTAAGTAATTTCAGGTTATAGTTCAAAGTGTATATGTGGCTGTTCTTAATCAATACGTTGAAAGTTATGTAGCTATGACAGTTAAAGTTTACAGGGTTATGTTTGTAAATCAAGTTGCTGTCACTATCATATAACCTTGCTTGGACATTGAAATGTTTAAAAACTTTATCAAATTCATTGGCTGATGACTCTGCCGCAGCCACTCAGCCACTCAGCCGCTCTGCCAGAGTGGCTGGAGGAGCCACTCAGCCACTCTGCCAGAGTGGCTGGAGCAGCCACTCAGCCACTCAGCCCATCAGCCACGCAGTGGCTGGAGCAGCCACTCAGCCACTCTGGCAGAGTGGCTGGAGGAGCCACTCAGCCACTCAGCCACTCTCCCAGAGTGGCTGGAGCAGCCACTCAGCCACTCAGCCACTCTGCCAGAGCGGCTGGAGGAGCCACTCAGCCACTCAGCCACGCTGCCAGAGTGGCTGGAGCAGCCACTCAGCCACTCTGCCAGAGTGGCTGGAGCAGCCACTCAGCCACTCAGAGTGGCTGAGTGGCTGGGGTGAAAATTTCCGCCATTGCGCGTTCAATCTGATAAGATGGAGCTGGAAAAGGCAATCACAACTGAACTTTAAAGTAGTTTTGAAAAAGAAACGGATAGATAAGAAAGCATTCAGGATGAATTACTTGCATCTATTTAATGTACATGTTCTTTTTCTCCATCCATCTGCCTTTCGTTACGCCCGACCGCCCAACTCTTCATCGTGACCCCGTCCATCACCCCAACTTCATTTAACTCTCTCCCCTCCATCCCTGCTCACTCCTCTCCACACTTTCTGCCCCTAAAATTCTTTTCGGACAGAGGAATGAAGGTATTGAGCGGAGATGGACATGTAGAAGGGTGGAGAGGGGGAGAGAAGAGAAAAAATAGCGGCAAAGTGAAAAGGGAAGGAGAGAATCCCAAGCAGTACATAACGCGAAGGATGTGAATAAATACAGTACTGTAGGTGTATCCTTATATTTGGTAGCAATTTTTGATCACCTTCTCCACACCCCACCTTCATTCCACCATCGCTCCACCCTCGCTCCAGCCTCGCTCCACCCTCGCATCACCCTAGCATCACCTTCACCCAACCTTCCCAACCATATCCACCCCTTCCACCTACCCTTCCACCCACAACTTTCCACCTACTTCACCCCCTTTCTGTGTCTTTCGGGGAGGGCAAGAAGCTGTGGAGAAGCGGCGAGGCAAGGCGTAGAGAATCCCAACAGGTGGGAAAACATTGGCACATGCAGAAAGCAATGAAAAGCATACACTTTACATTGCATGCGAGACAAACATGCCTTAGCCCGCCCTGTGCTTTGTAATGGCGCCGCTGTTTTTGGATCGTGTCCAAAGAGAATTATTCCAACGAAAGTTGGAAATAGCTTCAAAGAGAAATTTAAAGGGAAATTGATCTGTGCAAGCAAATTTCAGAAGGAACCGGAAAAGATCATTTCAATTGAAATTTAAGCTACTTTTGAAAAGGACATGTACAAAGGCTAGATAAGGGCACAGCCAGAATGAAGATATGACAGTACACTTGAAGGAAAGCTATGAATGAGGATATCGGATCTTTAGGCTAGATATTCCAAAGGTAAATAGAAACTCAGAACAATGATAAAAGTTTGACTGGCACTTGCAAGAAGATTTTCCTCTCCTTTCACCTCATCTCTCTGCTCGACCCTTCATTATAACCCTGTCCATCACCCCAACTTCACTTAACCCTCGCCGTTTTTACATCTCTTTTCACTCCTCCATCCTTTCAGCCCCTAACATTCTCCTTGGAACAGGAACGGAAGGAGAGAAGAGAAGCAGCCGTGGAGAAGTGAAAAAGGCAAGGAGTAGCGAATTCAAAAAAACGGTGAAGAACGCAAGCAATGTAAATAAATATGCATCGTTTTCAAGTTTGTGCAACCTTCTCCACCCTTCATTGAGCCCTTGCTGCCCTTGCTCGATCTTTGCTTCACCCTCGCTCCACCCTCACTCCATCCTGGCCGGACCATGGCATCACGCTTCCTACCAATCTCCTAACCCCGGCACTCGCAATCCGCCCCCTTTCCATTCACACTTTACCACCTACCCATGTTTAGGCCTTTTCACCTCATTTTCAGCTTCTTTCTTCTTTGTAGGTGGAGAGGGGGGAAGGCAAGAAGCTGTGGAAAAGCGGCGAAGCAAAGCGCAGATAAAGAGAGGAAAAGCACAAGTGGACAGGTATCAATGAGACAAGCATTGGCACATAAAAAAAAGCAATGAAAAGCACACACTTTAATGTGGTAAGCCCAACAAGAAACCAGCACCAAAATCATTATAATTGGATTGTATAGAAAAACCCCAAATGAGGTTCTTTGCCATGTAACATCGCCTGCGCAGTTCTTTGCCACATTACATTGCCTGCGCAAAAACCATGGCCCCACCCTCTGCCTTTCAAAATGTGGCCGCCAATTTTGGATCATGTCTAAAGAGAATTATTCCAACGAAAATTGAAAATTTAAAGAGAAACTAGAAGACAATTTTGTTCTGTTCTTTGACAGCAAATTGAACATGGAGCTGGACAAGACAATTTCAACTGAAATTCAAATAGGTTTTGAAAGAAATTGCTAAATAGATAAAAGAGCAGTCCGGATGAATTGTTCATGTATGTGTTGTATTTTGTTTCTCTCCACCCATTTGCCTTTCACCACACCCCACCGCCCAACCCTTCATCGCGACCCTGCCCATCACCTCAATTTCATTTAACCCTCTCCGCTTTCCATGCATGCTCACTCCTCTTCACCCCTTGTCCCCTAGCACCTTATCTTCAGAACAGGAATGAAGGTGTTGAGTGGAGGCAGAGATGGACATGTAGAAGGGTGGAGAGGGGGATGGAAGAGAAAAAGTTTGCGGAGAAGTGAAAAGGCAAGGGAAAAAGCACAAGCAGTGGATCAAGCAAAAAACGAAATAAATATGCATCGTTTGTATCAATTTTTGGCGACCTTCTCCACCCTTCACTCCACCCTTCACTCCACCCTTCACTCCACCCCCGCTCCGCCCTCGCTTCCCCCACAGAAAAAGCAATGAAAAGCATGCACTTTTACATTGCCTGAGAGGCAAAATGCCTTAGTCCACCCTATGCTTTGTATTTGCACTGCTGCTTTTGAATCATGTCTTAAGAGATTTGTTCCAAGGCACATTGAAAAGTATGTCCAAAAAAGAAAGTAGACATACATTTTTTTCATCTATGCAAGCCAATATAAGATGGAGCTGGAAAAGGCAATCACAATTGAACTTTAAAGTAGTTTTGAAAAAAGAAACGGCTAGATAAGAAAGCAGTCAGGATGAATTACTTGCGTCTATCTAATGTACATGTTCTTTTCTCCATCCATCTGCCTTTCGCTACGCCCACCGCCCAACTCTTCATCGTGACCCCGCCCATCACCCCAACTTCATTTAATTCTCTCCGCTTTCCATCCCTGCTCACTCCTCTCCACACTTTCTGCCCCGAAGATTCTTTTCGGAAAGAGGAATGAGGGTATTGAGCGGAGATGGACATGTAGAAGGGTGGAGAGGGGGAGAGAAGAGAAAAAATAGCGGCAAAGTGAAAAGGGAAGGAGAGAATCCCAAGGAGTGGATCGCGCAAAGGATGTGAATAAATACAGTAGATGTATCCTTGTACTTGGTATCAATTTTTGATCATCTTCTCCACACCTCACCTTTCATTCCACCATCGCTCCAACCTCGCTCCACCCTCGCATCACCCTAGCATCATCTTCACCCAACCTCTCCAACCATATCCACCCCTTCCACCTACCCTTCCACCCACAACTTTCCACCTGCTTCACCCCCTTTCTTCGTCTTTCTCCTTTGTAGGTGGAGAGGGGGGAGGGCAAGAAGCTGTGGAGAAGCGGCGAGGAAAGGCGTAGAGAATCCCAAGAGGTGGGAAGACATTGGCACATGCAGAAAAGCAATGAAAAGCATACACTTTACATTGCATGCGAGACAAAATGCCTTGGCCCGCCCTATGCTTTATAATTCCGCTTTCGTTTTTGAACCGTGTCCAAATAGAATTATTCCAACGAACATTTGAAATAGCTTTAAAAGGAAATTAAAAGGAAATTGATATTTGCAAGCAAATTTCAGAAGGAACCGGAAAAAGACAATTTCATTAGGAATTTAGATTTCGGAAAGGACATCTACAAAGGCCAGGATAAATAAGACAGCAAACTTGAAGGAAAGCCAAAGGAAATGCAGCCATGAATTTATAGAAACATTGAAAAGGAGATGAATATGGAGATCGGATTTTAGACTAGCCTTTCTTATGGAATTGTAATTGAGGTCCTCAGAAGCGAGATCCAGAACCCCGTCATTCTATACATAAAGGTCCCCTCCACATATATATATATATATATATATATAATTATATATATATATAATTATATTGCATTCTGATGCAAACCGATCCAGCCTTGCACTGACTGTAGGCCTGGAAATAGGCCTCGTACCAAGGAGTGCTGTTCGTGCCGTTGGCCTGGAGCAACGAGGTTGCTGGAAATCGGACGGGATCCGACTTCGCGTAGGTCAGGCGGCACTTCACGAACTCGTTCCGGGAAGATTCGATGGCCGCAAGGCTCTTGTTGAAGTTGCCGATCACATGGCCTTTCATGTTCTTCTCGAGCAAATCCTTGATCGTCTTCACGATGTCGGATGTATTGCTGGCCTGATTGGCGCCATTGGTCTTCAGGAGATCTGTCAGTGCTCCAGCCACAGACTTGAGGTGTGCATCCGTGTTGGCTGGATTGGTGGCCAGGTTAGCAATGCTGGCAGGTGCAGCAGGTGCAGTTGCATCAGCTGCAAAAACGGAAAGCAAGGCCACTGCGGCAAACATCTGGGAAATCTGCATTGTAGCGGTGAACGTAGCGAACCGATGGTCCAGCTATCGCACGTTGTCAATCTCCGCGCTTCGTCTTGCGCAGATCTTGAGCCGCAAACGAATCAAATGCAAACTTATATGCACCGAATCAGCGAAGGAATAGTTCAAAAAAAAAGAAAGGATATGTTTTCCTGAACGGTTGCAGTATTTGCATCTTCACTGCTTTTGGTGTATCTCCTGTGTTGCAAGGAAGACATGGCAGCTTGACCGGACTTGGTGGCATTGAGTCTTCGTCAAGGATGCTGCTGTTCTTGGCAACGTGTGCATGGGAGAAATCTGCGAATCAAGCCACTTGGAGAAACCGTTCTCTGTAGTAGCTGAGGTTTTGGCGTGCTTGGTAGACACTGTGCTAACCTTCCAGCCGAGATTCCACTTAGACTTTCTACCATTTGCATTTGGTACTATTGTACCATGTTGTACCATGTTGTACCTATTGTACCTGCATATCTTACCTATAGATAGATAAGAGTTTACAAAAGCTCTCTTGTGCCACGAGACAAGATTCTGTCAAAGTGGTATTCAGCCAATGTTGGTTCATGAATTGCAGTGTTTTGCTCATTGTAGTCAGGTCTTATAAGTTTTAACGATCTGAAACAGAAATCAAACAAAAGCTGCGGACCAATTGAGCATAATTGACAACCAAAGGTGTTGTTCAAGCCCACAGGATTGGAAACAGTGTCTACGGCTGCAGGAGCAGTCCTTTGGCAAGTGCGACAAGTTCTCCTCAATGTTCCATTGAGCCTGCATAGATCTGCATGGTGGTTTGGATGACCCTGATGGCCCATGGCAGTGAAATCTCACCTCATCAATCTCCAACACCAGCAGAGTGGTATCGTCCGTGGTGTCAATACCTTTGCTGCCACACCATTAAGCGTCGGGACCATTCTTTTTGATGCCAAACCCTGATGTTACAAGTAGAATGCTATAAGATATGCTGGAAAGTGACCAATCAAACATTCAACGTCAATTTGCAACTCCAAACTGCCTTTCATGTCACAGTGGTGGCCATGCCCCAAATAGCCCCGAAGCAATACCAGCGGCGCTTATACTGCAAATATGTGTGGTTTGCACATGTTTGCACTCCAAACTGGACATGATGGTGCCATGCTTTGCCAAGGCACTGTTGTCGAAACGGCAAAAGTTGGTGCGGCCAAAGAAACCCGGCTTTTCGAAGGCACATTTGGCCTCCAAAGTCGCAGTGGACACCGCGCATACACTCTGCATTTTTGTTGTGAAGCTTTGTGAATCTATAGTGAATCTAGTGAATCTAGTGCCTTTATTCGGAGACGTATGCACAATCGAATTCCAGCCCTCCCTTTTTCCCCCAAAGTGATTTTGCCACAAGGGTCCAAAAGGTTGGATTCTCCAAGACTGGCTCATCTTGCAGCATTTACCACTGGATAATCATGGACAGTCCAGTGAAGATTAGGGTTCTTGGCCACTGCTCACTCTAAACAGATCTAACTTGGACATGTTTTTTTATCGCCCACAAATGGTACCCAATATTGCAAATATTCCAAAGACATGCCTCTCGGCGATGTTTGCCAACGGAAAGCCAGCACTTGATCATACTCCCTGCTGGACCTTGAAACAATCTCAAAAGCAAGTCGATTGCGAAGCACAACCTCTTGCACTTTGGCGCCAACCCTAGCATCCGGGCGCCAAACAATGGAGGAAGAAGGAACAGAAACCTGCGCTTGCGGGGGACGACTCAGAATGTGTTGCCATATGAAACTATGCGTGCACCAGCCCTTCAAACAATCGACCATTGATGGGAATCGCTGTCAAGTCCAGGTCTCACGGCAACAATCGAATGGTGTGTATTGGACTTTTTTTTGGGCTGATCTGCAGTTAAACATAGTTCAACTAGCTGACTGTAGTAGTGGGGTGAGCACATCACGCGTAGCCAATCCGAATGACGAAATGGTCTGCGCATAGTCAGCTGCCTTCTCTTGCTCCAACATATCCTGAAGGGTAGAAGACCTCGTTTCACCAACGAAACGAAACTGGAAACCTGCTGCACGGAGGATTCTGCTTTTCTTTGCTGCAAACATCTGCAAACAAAACCTACTCAACTAGAACGCATGCCAACAGGCTAACCACACACAGTCTTACAATCACCACCCGAGGCAATGACAAGCTGCAAATCGTCGACCTGAAGATGCAATGTTTCTTTGGGAACCAAACCCTGTAGTGGCTGGGGGGAAACAGGTTGAGTAAACACCTCTGATTTCGGAACATTTCACTTGTTGGATTGTCCAAACTTTGTTGCGTCCAATCTCACGCCCTGGATACTGGCAAGATCCTGCCTATAGTGCATGTTCGAAATAGAACTTTCCCTGACTGTACTTAGCACCATTGTGGGACTCGTCAACGAATCTGTCACCCGCGCATTCCAGTATCACAATGCGATTTGCTGCCAGGACTTGAACACATCATATTGTATTACTAACATTTACTAACCAATGTATCTCCTTGACGCTGCAGCAGGTATCCAAGTATCCCGACACCCGCAGCTTCAAAAGTGGTGCTGCAAAGGCATTCATTCTCTGGAAAACACCTCGGCAAACTCATGCTATCTATGGTCAATGGATGTCAATACCAGAAACCGATTCAACAGACTCAGATAGTTTCTCCTAGGTCCCAAATGCATCTAAATGCTACGTTGCCCTTCTGCACTTTTGAGATTTCGATCTTTCTGTAAATGTCAGTCCCTCCGAATTTGCAAATTGCAGCAACGCATCTCCCTTTACAAAACAAATGCCTCGTCACCTCCTGAACGATATGAGGAGGACAGTTGGTAAAGAATGGCAAGCTCAGGTTCCTCTGGGACTTCCACTTTCTAAGGTGCGAAGCCTTTTCCAGTCGCCATTCCTCATCAGGAATCAACACAGGAAACGATGCCCTGGAATCCAATTGGATCCAATTGGACTTTATTACGTCCAACCAATGCAATGCCACTCAATTTCTGTCTGATTCAAGAATTGCCAGATATTGCCAGCGCATATCTGACACATCACCTCTGCAGCCAAGCGACGATACGCCGGACCATTCCGGACCTGATGAGATTCACCTGCGGCTTGACGTGGCTTGACATGGCTCGTGGTTGAACTCGGATTTTGGAAAGGTCTGACTCTATATGATGCCGCCTCTTTGAGGACATGCAGTCTTGTTGCTGGTCTCTTCAATGCAAATCACCATGGATCTGCATGTTTGGCAGCCATCGTGTTGCATCTGTTCGTGTGAGAGACAAACAGACACAGAGAGAGAGAGAGAGAGACAAAAGGCCAACGGATCTTTTGGAGTTGGCCTGGTCTTGCAGAATGTCCAGCACCCTGTGATTGAGGTAGCGATGGTACCTTGATAATCAACTGATAAGACTCAAGCATCAACATGGACCCAGGATGGTCCAGGAAAACGGACCAAAGATTGACCAATGGAAACAGGGCATTTGAATGCATTTGCCATCTCGCTACTTTTGCAACTCACAAAATCAGCTTCCTTGCATTCAGTTGGTAGAGTGTGTGATGTTTATGATATTTTAGATTTTAGATTTTAGATATGTTATGACTATGACTGATTATGTTATGATATGCTTCGTGCATGTTGCAACATTTGGCATCGGGTTGAGGTCTTTCGGAAATGACCAAGTTTCCAGCAACATCTCTCCACCCAGGCTACAGCGCTCTGGCGCAGCCTCCTCCTGACACTTGTTGTGGTCACTTCGCAGTGTTCGCCCAATAAATTGCAGCCGAGATTTTAAATCCATGTTGATTTACAGTATTTACAGTAATTCAGAATTCAATTGCATTTACTTTAGTTTGATTCTACTGCTTTAGGACCTGGGAAAAAAATGGAAATCAAGCAAACTACCTGCAGAAAGCAACGGTTCAATCTTCTTGGACAACACATGATATGGCAACTGCAAAAACACAGGCACTGCAGGTCCAATTTTCTTCAAAAAATTGCCCATGGCGTGAACGTACACCACAATATTTGTTTGGTTTACACCAAGTGCAATGCACTCTCATATATTATTACAAGTTACAAGTTATCATTTTTTGGGGGGGCCTATCGCTTTACATGGCTTGGTGATGCTTGGTGCACTTTCGCACAACTGTGCCCCTCCTTACTAAAGTAGTTTACGCTTATTCTCACTGTATCTCATATTTGGCTGCGAACCTGTTCCAACCTGTTCCAACAACCATTTCTTTCAACGCAGCTGCACTTGGGTAAAAATTGGCCGAAGACATCAGCGCATGTGCCAACCTTCGCAGGGCTATCCTTTCTGGCGCGACGAATGGCCTCGCCAACTTGATCATGAAACCTAAAACCACGTTCTCAGCAGATTCCCATTAGATCCATGATGTAATTTCAAGAAAATTCAACCGTTTCAGCTCTGTAGCATTGACACTTGAATGGGATCCCTCGGACACTGCTTCACAACAACTCGTGATAGATATATATATATATAGGGGCTCTTGATGACTCAAATATTCTGTTGCTTCACCATCTTTACTGCCTTCGCGTGCTTGGGACAAAGCTGTGACTTAGTTCACAAACCATGCTGCAAGCACTGCAGGGACCCCCAATGCAGCTATCTTGGCCACGATCCCAGTGCTTCTGCCTCAAGAACTTCAAAGCCGACGACCAAAGAGCCATCCTGAAATATGCTGTGGGACAAACAGGATTACTGGGTCTATCGGTATAGCTCAAAAATAGGTTATAAATGGTATCAGTGGTGCAAATGTGGTCGTTTCTAGATAGTATTCTAGCACTGAAACTATCAATCCACATATGTTTAAGGGGTCAATGATCTTGAGACATAACCAAATTGCTGTGCAACTTGAACAACAGGTGTCACTTCTGTACAAGTTGAACCATTGAGTGCCTTCTCGTTGATCTGGTCACGGATGAAGCAAACCGGCTTGGTGCCTCAAGAATCATTGAAGCACCCAGCTGCTGGGCTATCAATGCATGCTAGAATATATATGCGTATATATGATATACTGTATATGGTCCCGCCCGGCGCCCGACAACCCCCCCCCCAATGCTATCCCCCCAGCAACCACCCCCACGGGGGTGGCCAGTACCTTGAGAGTGGCCATATACTAGCTACTATCAAGATCTCATGCGCTATACATAGGTGCTAGCCACATACTACCTATACACTATCTACATGATACCTCTATAACACCCCACCCATCCCCCAGGGGGGGGTGGGGGTAAAGTAGACCTACTTACTGCCTTACACACTATATAGTTGTGCCAGTGACACGCTACCTAGCCCCCACCCACCCCACAGGGGGGGCGGGGTTAACGTAGACCCTACATCGATCGTTTATATGCTAGCGACATGTCAACTATATCCGACACAAAGCCTCCAACATACAGCGTACATTGAGGACCATGACCATGAGGGGGGAGGGGGGGTTGCAGGGCTGAGCATATATATATATATAATTATATATATATAATATATATATATATACACAATATTATATGATATATATGATGGAATCCACTGGATGAACCTGGCCAACCTCCAGCATGCAACCTGAGAAACGCTCCGGAAACCGTAGTTTCTCTAAGCATCCGCACAAACTGCCTGGCCATCATCTCCAAAGGTGTGCTCTACTTGAGCAAATGCAGTGCCTGTGCTGGGCACTGCGTGAAGAAAATGCTCATGATGCAAATGCGCGCTTGTCAAGCCGAAATAGGGTCGTATAATGGCAGCACAATTTTACCTGCATAATCCATTGCATCATAATCCTGCCTAGATGTACAATATATATATATATATATATGTATACAGGTTGAAGTTTGTAATTGCGCTCGTCTTGTAACACATCAACCAAATTCCAATGCAGTCCTTTTCAACATCAATCCACTTTATGTGATTAAGACATGTCCGCACCCATCTAAGTCCAAGCTTTCCAAGTTGCATCTGCGTTACATATCATACTCGTGAGATCTCGTGAGATCTCATGAGTATGGTACAGTGGTACACATTTTTTTTGAGGGATCAACAGTGAGCCCGTCAGCCTACGTAGAGTCTGCACACCACAAAGAGCCCAGGATCGCCCTTCAAGGCTAACACCTCGACGAAACAGTTGGGAAAACTTGCTCCAGGACCTTAGGATCCTATCAATCTTAGGATCAAAACTCACCAAACTTTCTGGGAAACACTTCAGATACCTAGCCTAGCAGTGGTTAAAAAAAAACACAAAAACACATCCATATTATTGCCTGATTCATGCGTTAGAAAACATTAAGGGCAGCTGCAAAACCGAGGCACGCAGTCTCCCCGCGTTGCCATGGAGTCTTGATCTTGGTCTGCTTGAACTTCTGTAGGCCTTGCAATTCAGGGGGTATATCCATTGTTTTCTCCAAGCAAAAACCTCTGATATGTGAAAACCGTTCTGAGTTCTGAGTACATAGCTACTTAAATCATAACATTACTCTTCATTCACCTTTTATCTTAATATATCTTATGGGTTTGTCTGGAAATTGGGTACTTACCCCAAATTCCAGTGGTCAATCCCCATTCTCCCGCATCAAGTGAGTATCTTGGATCATTTTGGTGGTAAAAGCAGTGAAATCCCCCATTCTCAGACGCCACGTGACAGCGCTGCACCTCAGGAACCGCAGCTCCATCTGAAGGTCATGAGCACCTGCTGCCTCCGGTAAGTTGGATGTCCAGCCAGTACAAGACGTGGCAAAGTGCTTGTGAGGGTGTCTGTGTGTATGGGCTGGCATGATTTAATGGAACGCCCTGCCCCCCCCCCCCACAGCACCATACTCGCAAAACCGCACATGAATGGTGATGGTCAGTGATAGTTAAGGCATGTTAAGTCCACTTCAGAACAATCCTGAAGGATTACGTCAAGTGTTTTGGGAGCTTCCTCTCACACCCTTCTCATTTATTGCTTCTCCCGAACGCCTCAAAGATTGGAGATACCCAAGCAGGAGGTGTCCTGAATTCACAAAGTCCAAGGCTCCCATTCTGAGGAGAAAATGAACATGAAAGCGAAGACTTGAACACACACACCAATGAAATTGTTGAATCATGTTGAATCATGTTGAACTCGATAGTAACCGATAGTAGATGCAGCTCACCCTTGGGATCCCCCGCGAGACCAGGTCACTCTTCTGAGCCAATTTGGCCAGCTGAACGGAGGCGTCCTGGTTCGCAATGGGAGTCTTGGATGCAAATATGGAAACATATGAAACCATTGGTTGGGCTTGGCAAAGGGTCATGTATCTTCATGTATCTTCACACTGCCCAAGTTCCAACACTATGCTCTTTCATGATTCATCGCAGTGTGGGATACAATATATACTCTTCAGCTCCAGACTCTAAAAACTGCAGTCCTTGATGTGCCAATCAACCCGCCTGGTTGGGATATTTTCCACCTGGAGGACACAAGAACAGAGAGCGGACAGAAGTAGAAAACCAGGCATACTTGTAGAATGCTCTACATTGCTGTATCGTGGCTCTTACTGCCCCTTGCATCAGCAAAAGCTGTCCGTTTATGTCCGTTTGCCTCCTTGATAACATTGGAGAGGCGGTGGGTTCTGGCCTCCACACTCCAAGAGGAACAACTCGACTCAACATCTGTTTCTACACCACCGTTTCAGACTGCCTAGGGTCAGTTTGTCAGAGCCTGTCTTAACGTGAAATGCATCAACATGATATAAATTCAAAACTGCACCAAAATACATTGAGAAAGGTTGGACAGTCTTGACTTCTATATCTTCTTTACTGTGAACATGCAGTTGTGACAGCCTCCAAGTCACTAAGCTGCTTCCCGTGGTCATAGCCTGGATGGCTCTCAGGTGGCAAGCCAAAGGCCAAAGGAAAGGATGAAAAACCACAGGGCCATTTCCATACCTATCACCTCCTTTGGCGAATCTTTCATATGACATATCATCATAAACTGTGCATAGTAAATTCATGTTCAATTCATAATTCAGTAGTTGATCGGATTTTAAGTTCGGAGCAGGCACTTCAAACACTGCTGACCTATAAATGTACCATGGATATACAGCTTCATCATTGCATTGAAATCAAAATGCTATGAAGTTCAGTACAATTCTGTGCGGCTGGTTTGGCCTCTACAATGTTGTATACTACTGTATACAGTACTTTCTCCAGAACAATGCTTGAGGATGCAACGCAATTTGTTTTCTCTGTTTGTGAACTCATTGGATGTGTGGCCAACCAGATCCTGGAGCGGGCAACCGACAGGATATCCTTGGATTGTTGGGGCAACAAACAAATCGAACACCCCACCGTTTCTTGTACTTTTTGCAGCCCTGGTCTCTCCTCCAAAGCCCTATGGTTTGCTGCCACCTCACAGAAATGTTCACGGAAAAACATGTTGACCACGCATGATTGTCTTCAAGCTATGTGCCAACTGTCTTCAGGTTCAGGGAATTGGAGAAGTACATGATCTGGTTCTGATCCAGAATCGAACCAGTCGTGAGAATGAGGCTTTGCAGCAAAAAAAGCAAATGGGCCAAGGAAACTGCATTAGGTCCTGCTGAAAGTTTGTCATATTGTTGCATATTCATGTCAATAATGCTCAAACAGCCTAGTGAAAAGTCCATCAACTCTCTCTAATATTATTAGATATAATTAATTTGAATAATTTAGTCAACCGCGCATTCTTTGTGCCGTCAATGAAACATGGGCCTTCTCCATCAACAACGTCAGGTCTCTGTGGAGATCGTTGGCAAAGCGATCTGCCTGAAGCCCGCGGGAGCCAGTGGTAGTTGGACACATGCCACAATGAAGCGTTGTGACCCTTGTGATCATTCGCATCAGGAGCCGCTTCAGTGTGTTATGTCAACAGTGTGACTTAATGGACATTGACATCACCAATTTAGAGACACCACAACAGTTGGACACGTCAATTCTTCCAGGGAGACATGGAGCACGGAGGCCTTGTCCATCCGGTCGCAAGTATTTTCTTCACAAGTTGCCTGGAACACCGTGGCAATGTTTGAAAATGCAGTGAAATCGGCGAATCCAACTTGAAACTGCTCTCTATGGCCAAAAGACCAAAGAGATCAGTATTGAGTTGCCGTTTTGAGGACAACATTTCCAGTCTCAATGAGGGCTTTGCGTAAAACGACTGGAGTAACTTCAATCAATCAACATCAATTATAAAACACCTCGCTTCAAATACAAGCTGGATTGTCCCAGCCCTCTTCCACTTCTCATCTAATCAAAAGATACTGTACTGTTTGTAACACCAGCCACAATGCCAGATTTTGCTTTGCCTGAACATTCGACAAGCGGTCCGCAGTGCTATGCAACTCCTTGGAAAAAGGCAACTGTCAATCTGTGCGCTACAAACGCTAAGCTTATAAAAACAAACACCCAAGATTATCACAAACTCACTTTGAGATTGAACAACTGCCTTTTCTCTGCCTTTCAACTCATGAAGTTGTAAAAGGACTTACTGTAATGCATTACAGAGAAGCTGGAAGTTGTCTAAGAAGTTTAGAGCTTGACATTAATTTCTCTAGAATCAAAGCGCCCGTCAAGCTCACATCGTAGATTCCAGGACAACATACCCCTAACCATGCCACTATAAAATCATGTGAATATCAGTTCATCTTTGAAATATATGGAAATAAGATGGATAAACACACACAGTATAAATATACAGTATATTGGAGGTTTGTGTGTGAACATGAACTGGGTGAAAAAGGGGGCTTCAGCCCCTTCAAATGCTTCCGCAGCAATAATGCAAACCTCTGAGGTTGCAACACTCAGAAGATACTCTCGAGTCTCCTGTTGTGCTCTCGTGGGATAATTGTTCAAGCTTGGAAGCTGGAGCAGTTTAATAGAAGGAGGATATCCAGAGAGTGAACAGCTCAAGAGGTAAACTTGATCACGGGCTCAATGTGATCAATGTAGAAATAGGGTGCGCTCCATGGAATTTGAGCAACTATAGCAATAACATCCGGCGCGATCCTTGCATTCTTGCGGACATCCCTTGCTGCCTTTCTGGGTAACGTCGCTGTCTGTTTCATTCTGTGCTGCTTTCATAGTGAACAAATTATCTTGCCATGCAGTAGGGAAACTATGAAACATAGAATAGCTGAATAGCTGGGAGCATTCCGCTCTTGAAGCTCTTGGATTCTGCCACCTTTTCCGCTTGGACAAGGAACAAAACCAGCCACTGACATCGCTGCATCTCCTTCTCTGAAGCTTTCAGGGACCCCGTGATGAGTTCATTGTTCTTGTGCATCCTGAGAAACCACGCATATCATGTTGCATCACCATCATCAGTTCAGTCCGTCTGGTCCAGAGCTGCCATCTCGATGGTTCGATGGCTGTGGAAATAACCGTCTGTATTAATTAATTATAACATTCCTCTTTTTCTCAATATTTTTCATACTAAGGCAATGGACAGTATATATATATGTATATTATATGTACATAATAGTACGGCCAGGCGCTGTGTGTTGCCCGGAAGGTTCAAATGGCGTTTAAACATGTTTAACCATTATCCTTCAACATGCTCAAACACTGCGCAGGGCCAGTGTTTTGAGATTTCCCAGACGACGAACCCTAAACCCTAAAACCCTAAACCATCCTAAACCCTAAAACCCCAAACCCTAAAATCCCAAACCCTAAAACCCTAAACCCTAAAACCTAGGCTCTGAAAACTTTGAATCCTAAACTGGGAAACACTGCGTATGCGCAGTATTTTCTGCAATCTCTCCTATCATGTATTCGACAACACGACATTCTCAATGGTAATGTCTGGGCAACACACGGCGTCTGCGGGTAATAGTACTATAATATATATATATATAATAGATATACATTATATACATACCAATACATTATATTGTCTTATCATATACTATATAGTAGTATAGTATATATATATATAATATTATATAATTATAGATATAATTAGATTATATTATATACCCACCAAAAGCCATCATTAACCAAGCTGGCCACAGCCGTGGCCATAACCTGAGACATCTGAGACACCCCGCAAGACGCGTGACTCGTTGCGCAGCAAGGCTTCCTTGGCGATGAGCTGACGACCTCGGTGCCGTGCACATATTTGAGACTGTACGTTTAACATGTTTATGCAAATATCATCATACATAATGTATCATAATGTATATATGAGCAATCTCGAAAACCCTAGGTTCACGGAAAGGACATCCACAAATTTGGGAAGGTCCCATCGCTTACCACACATTTGTACAATAATGATATACGATAAACTTGTGGGGTATCGCTTGCAGGAAACTGCTACATTTTTATTTATATAATTCACAAAAATCAACGTCCAATTTGGGTATCGCTAATGTGGATATTAGAGAAATACAATGACATAACCTTGAAAAGGGGTATCGCTAATTTGGGAAGGTCCCATCGCTTACCGTGTGTTTTTAACAATTTCTATCAATTTCCATAAACCAATGTCCGTCCAATACATATTTAGTATTGCCGGGGATTTTGCGGTGGCTCATATATATATATATATACATAGACATGTCTTCTAGAGTATAAACAATTATAAACATATATGATCTTATATGACTAATGATTACACAGTAAAATATCAGACCCGTATTATAATCATGTATAATCATTTTATAATCTATAATCCATGATATGACCCAATTGTGGCGATATCGACATTTTGGGGGGTCGCAAGCTGTCGCCAATCCCAGCAGCGCGTGAGGTCCATGGTCTCGAAGAGCTCCTGCAACTGATTGGCCTTGTGCCTTGGCAGTGGATCATTGATGGTTTATTGATGGTCATTGATGGTTATTAATGGTTATTATTGGTCATTAATGGATATTGATGGATTGTTACTTATGTGTTATTAATGGCAACTATCATTGATGGTTATTCATATACTTACTATCTGATAGTAGTTACTATCTGTTATTGATTGTTATTATTCAACATTGATATCATTGATAAAGAATATGACATTGTGGATATAGATCGAAAATCCGTAGTTCTATCATTCTTAGCAAGGGCTTCAGAATGCGGTAACGTTTATACTCGGGAAGACTGGTCGGCCAGGAATCTACTACGAGGTGATTCCAAGCCGTATAGTTTTGGAATGAGTGCATCCTTGTGCGGTGCTTTTTGTGTTTCGTAGTTTGACAGCACAGGAACAAGCAGCAAAGATCCACTTGGAGTATGTTGCCCCACACACTCTCAAGCGAGAACTGAGAACATATGTTTAAATTGAAGTCACTATTCATGATACATATCTCATATCACATCATGTATATCAGGAAGTCTTGATGTATCAACATGTCGTAGTATCATCTTATTTTGAATGTAATACTGTATATTACTGTATCATGTAGATTACAGAATATATACAATGTATATCAATATACGTATATATATATATACACATTTATTATGTAGATATTGAGGTCCCTATAGGTCCCTTCTGGAAACTCCAAGGCACTGCATCTCTTGATCCATCTTGTCCTGCAAGGCCTGCATTCGATTGTTCAACCTCAGGTCGCCCTGGGGACTCAGACATTGCATTGGATTTTAGCAAATGTTCATTGACAATTTAACAAAATTGATCCATTGAATTGACACTGAAATTCACATGTTGATTTTAGATGATTTTAGCATACTTTAGCATATTTTAGCTATGTTCATCAAATTTAACACTTCTTTGTTGATTTAGTTGAATCATGTTGAATCCACTTGCTTCGATTCGTCACGAGTCATAGTCCCAGTTCGAAGCCGTTTCGCAAGGATCTGAGGTGTAGGCGACTCCTCAATGTCTTTGGCCGTTTGTATGGCAAGCTGATGCAGGCCTTGGCGATGCAAATCATTTTGTGGATCCAGATGTGCCCTTTATGTCGAGATATGTCGAGATTTACCAGCAACAAGTTGGCTGTTGAACATCTTGGAAGTGGAACACTGACCTCAGCCATCCTCAGCCCAGGGGCGCTCATCATTGGCTGTCAGTTTCTGGTGCATGTCGACGATTGACCGATCATTGGCCTGTGATGGAATGTGATGGAACCCATGTAATTACAAGAAAATCTCTGGTGATTTTCCACTCTAATCAGAATCCAAAAGGTCACCACCATCTAGGGGTGATCAGAAAGTCCATGGGCACGAAGTTTGAAGGAACCCAAACAACACATAGATTCTTAGATGCATAGTGCAAACAATGCCATTCATCAAACACCATTCTGCACCTGATTTTGAACCTGGCTGCCAGGTCAAATGCAGTTGCCTCCAGGTTCTGTTGAAACACCGATAGCTTCGTCACGCCATCTTGTAAGCGTTCTGACCTGGCAAAACCAACAGAAAACAGTTGACAACAGCTGACTATACTATTACTCTGACCATATCATTGCGTCATCATGCCTGCTGAAATATTCTCGATTGCTATTGTTGTTATATGCATTATGTGTCTTTTAAATTCTTTAAATAGAAATACATACGTGTATTCTATGTTGTGATATGTTGTATAATTATATAATATATATATATATATGATTATATATGATTTTATGTTGTCCTCACACAGGCCACACGACACTCAGGCGCTGGCAGTTGCTTGTCAGACATGGAGATGTAGCGCTGCAACCTCAGGGAATTTACCAAGCACCATGAAGTTTTCTTTCAGAGGGGGATTGGATGAGTTGGGGTGGTGTGTTTGATATTGTTTGATGATTTCTGGACATTTCTGGACTCTATTTGAGAATGCTAGCTGCTAGCTGTGATGCTGGTTGCCAAACATCTACGAAACATGTAGAGATGTGAGCGAAGTGAGCAGTTCTTTTCAGATGACTTTGAGCAAAACCTCCATATCTACGCTTTGGCTTTAAATTGTCTCGATGAGTGTCTTCAGGATTTGGAATCTGGCCCTACCATTGAATAAGCAACTGCGAATCATAAACAAACTTAATATAGCTACAGTCTACTGCAACTATACGGCCTCGCTTCCCCCATTGCAGAGTGAATGGCAGAGTATGAATGGCAGGGTATGATGGTAAACTAACTGAGTGCCATCACACCCACCCACCTATCCACCAGGACCATGGGAGAGATGTATAAATTTCTATGCAATAAAACATATATAACTCGTATGTTGTGACATGCAACAAACGTGAATAGTGTCAAATGAAACATCCGAATCCAACCCATTCGGCAGCCTTCTTGACATAAAGATAAAATAGTGATGAAATCTATCAAAATAAGATGCTGCTGACATATATTTCTGCTATCCTCTTTGAAATCGTTTAGAATATAGCGTCCAAGCTTGGGATCACACTCATCACGCGTGGCGTTCAAATCTGAATGCATGGAAAGGACCAGATTGGCCACGTCCTCAGCAGCATAGGTGGAACAGGTTCTCCCAAGGTTGTCAAATAGTATTTACTGCAAGCACTGAAGTTGACTAAACTCAAAACGACATTTAACATTGGATATTGATCATGGCAACTGTGTGCTTCCAAACTTGAAGTTGAATTTTAGAAACTGGTTTAGAATTCACTGACAAATCGGTGCAAATTGCATTGAAAACACTCAGAAGAAACCATTTTGCCTGTGAATCATACTAGTTATGCTTTACTCGAATACAATTTGAAGTGAATAAAACATAATTAAAAAAGGCAATGACATTTTTGCACAATCATTCTCAAACCCTGAGCCAATTCTAAAACCCAACGCGGGAGCAAATCAGATGTGCGCAATCCAGGTCCCCAGTTGATATTGGAAATGCAAGGCTCATCCAGTTTGAAGCCTTTCTTTTTGCTCTGCATCGCTTGAACCATCTCCGTCTGCTTCCTCGTGGTATGCAGCAAACACGGATCGAGGTATGCCAAGGTGTCTAGAGCCCCGAGCCAGTACTTCTACCAGTAGTGCCGCGCAAGGCGGTGGCGGAAGTTTCAAAAATAGGAAACCTATAGGAGAGGTTGGTTGTTGTGAGTCACGGATGGCAGAGCGAATCCACTGATGGACCCAAAGGTGGTTGGAGCTGTGTTTTTTGGAGTGGTTGCAGTGGTTGCAGTGGTCACCTGGTCGGTCACCTCACCCACGTCTGCTGGATGTAGTGTGGTGTAGCGCAGCTGTAGTTGCAGTTGTAGTTGCAGTTGTAGTGTAGTGGAGTTGTAGTGGTGGTGTAGTTGCATTTGTGGTGGTGTAATGAGTGTAGTGTAATGTAATGTAATGTAGTGTAATGTTGTGAGGTGTACTGTTGTGTGGTGTACTGTTGTGTGGTGTGGTGTGGTGTAGTGTAATATAATTAGTGTAGTGTAGTTGTAGTGTAGTGTTATGTAATGCAATGTATTGTAGTTGTAGTTGTAGTTGTAGCTGTAGTTGTAGCTGTAGTTAGTGTAGCGCAGTGTAGTGTAGCGTAGCGTGGTCTGGTGTGTTGTGGTGTAGTGTAGTTGTAGTGTAGTATACTGTAGTGACTGTAGTGTAGTGGAGTGTAGTGTAGTGAGGTGTAGTGTAGTGTTGTGGAGTGGGGTGTAGTGTAGTGTAATTAGCGTAGTGTAGTGTAGTCTTATGTAGTTGTAGTTGTAGTTGAAGTTGTAGTCGGAGTTAGTGTAATGTAGTGTAGTGTAGTGTAGTGTGATGTAATTAGTGTAGTGTAATGTAATGTAGTTGTAGTTGCAGTTGCAGTTGTAGGTATAGGTGTAGTGTAGTGTAGTGGAGTGTAGTGTAGTGTAATTAGTGTAGTGTAGTATAGCGTAGTGTAATGTAGTTGTAGCTGTTGCTGTAGTTGTCGTTGTAGTTAGTGTAGTGCAGTGCAGTGCAGTGTAGTGTAGTGTAACTGAATGTAGTGTAGTGGAGTGTAGTGTAATGTAGTGTAATGTAGTGTAATGTAGTGTAGGTGTAGTTGTAGTTTGTTGTAGTTGTAGTATGTTGTAGTTGTAGTGTAGTGGAGTGTAGTGTAATGTAGTATAGTTTAATGGTGGTTGTGCTACAAAACCCTCACTTTTTGCCCACTTTTGGCAATGTGCAGAATCCCTTGCGCCTTCCACGGAAAACGACATCTGAATGTCAAAAAGTGCTCCGAACCCGTGAGTTTTTCTACAGTTTTGACTTCGAAATGTGCTTCGCGCCAAAACAGCGTGCACCTTCTCAACATCTGAACTTCCACAAGTGCTCTGAACGTGGTGTGCTTTGTACATGTTGACTTCAAAATGTGCTTCGCGCCACAACGGCGTACACTTTTTCGACATCTCAACTTCCAAAAGTGGTCCGGACGTGGTGTGTATTGTGCATTTTGACTTCGAAATGGGCTTCGCGCCACAACGGCGTGCACTTTTTCAACATCTCAACTTCCAAGAGTGGTATGAGAATGGTGTGTTTTGTACATGTTGACTTCGAAATGTGCTTCGCGCCACAACAGCGTGCACTTTTTCGCCATCTCAACTTCCAAAAGTGCTCCGAAGCTGAGGTGCTTTGTACATTTTGACTTCGAAATGTGCTTCGCGCCGCAACGGCGTGCAATTTTTCATCTCTCATCTGGCCAGATTGCTCCGCACCCGCCGTTTTAGCGAGCCTACTTTTCGACCCTCCGGAGCCACAAATCATTGCAAAAGCACAGTGTTACTCGACTTTCCTACCTTTTCGCGCACCTGGATCTTCTTTCTTCTGACTCTTTCTCTTCTCTGATCTTCTCTCTTCTTCTCTTCTCTTCTCTGACTCTTCCCACCTCTGCTTTTCCATCTGTCCATATTGTCGGAAATTTGACTTCTAAACTTCCTTCGATGACCCGAGTCAGTACTTCTATGGCGCAAATTCCCCTTTTCAATTGTTTTCAATCCTGTTCAGTCTTTGTCGATATCTTTTTCCATAACGTCCTTATGGTGATGAATCCCATCGCCTCGCGTTTCAAATGTTTCAAGAGTATAGCAGCACGTCCTCCTTCAATCATCCTGAAAATCTCCCCAAGTATATCTCAATAGATCCCCCAAGATCCCCCAAATCTATCCAAATCTGTCATCAATATCCAGATATATCCAGTTTCTCCATGGTTTCCCCATTGTTTCTCCATCGGATCTCCTCCGCAGCTCCCGGACGTCTGGATCGACCTCCATGGACACAGCGCTGCCAGCGGTACCAGTGGTCTGTCTGGCCCCAACGGTGGTCTGTCGGTGTCCCTGGGCGCGGATGGAGAAATCTCCGGAATGGCTGAAGATGGCTGAAGTGTGGCTTGAATCAACAAAATTGATGATGGAAAATGATGGAACATGATGGAAAATAATGAAACATGTCTTGAGATACAAATTGACATACAGATCATAGAGTACATGATACTGCGAGAAGATGCTCTGCTGCCTGAGTGGGAGAAGTCCCTGAAGAGCAATCTCTGTCCCATGTGCTATGGCATGTGTTTATTTAAAAATTGTTTTGCATGGAGTTGCAAACTGCCACTTGATGTCCAGTGACCAATGCACCAAGAGCTTTCCAGGCAGGCTACAAGAAAGCGGTGGGTGTACATCTATATAATGATCTTTAATGTGCTTCACAGGGAGCATCTTACTTTACATGTCATCGGAAAAAAGTCACATCTCTCGCTCATGCACACTATGAGGGGGAAGCAAAGATCCTCCTTTGGTGACTATGGTGTTTTTCTTAACTTCCTTGTGGCAAATGGTCCTTGGTCACCCCACAGGAGGAGCTGCCATTGCTGGCCACAGTCACACTGGTGTTGTTGTCTTCAGCTGTTGGGCTTGGAAATTCAACGTAAGTCTGAACATGCGCTGATTATTCTGTAGAGAAAGGGCAAACAGGGGCAAACTGTTTATGCTCGCATATGGCAGCCAAAATCAGGCAGGAAATTGCAACTCAACGGCAAACCAACTTTCCTTTAAGGACCTGTTTTGCAGTACCAGCAATCAAGTTGACAAAACCGTTGGCAAACCACTTGTCATGATCAGGCTGAGTGCTGAGTGGCAAACTTCTCGAGGTCAAATGTTGGACTGTTCTACTCTATGCGTCTATGCTCTACTAAACTTTACTAAACCCCCACAGCGCTGCACAAAACGCTTTAGTGCGCTGCTATTCCGACACTGCTATGCATCCCTGTGGACTGCCATATACTGCCATATGCAGCAAAGCTCAGCATAGACAGTTGACATCAGTTGACATTACATCAGCATTGGAAAGGGTGGCAACAAGTTGAACCTTCCACCATGGTCAGGTGGTAAGCTCGGACTTAGCCACTATGGCACACCTGGATCCCATGATTCGTTGGCTTTTCGAACTGACTTGTCGCATCTTGTTCCTATCACTGGGATCCTCTGCTGCCGTTGGAACATTGGCGGCTTCTAGACATTTCTTGGTGTCATTTTGATATTTTGATTGTGATTGCAACATTCATATATGATACACAAAATGTCACACCTATCGAAAGGTACTCTGCTAGAGTCAAACAAAAAACTGGACACCGCTGTCCTTCTTGAGATTCGAAGCGATCCGACCCGATCTTCAGGTCTGATTGTACATCACTCTGGAATTGATCTGATGTTATCGATATTGAAGTCTGGACAATGCAATGCTCCGGAATCAAGTCTAGTTGGAGAATGTTGGAGAGTTGAAAACTGTTCAAAACATAGAATTTTGTTTGAACGAACTTGACTATAACATAATCTGCTATCATAGCAAACATCACATCCACACTAGGCTTATGCTGTGAAGTTTCTGGATACGCACCTTCCGGCTGCTATTTAACAGCATGCGAAATCAAATAGGATCAGTACTTCCGTTTGGCCCAAAGCAAAGCACAACTTCAAACATCTTGAAACTAAGGCCACTACAGCCTGAACTACTCACCACACGCACAAGAGTGCCATTCGATCCTGCCATGGGCTCTCTGGCGTGAACATCGTGAACTTGGCTCTTGCAACTATGGATGGCAAATCTTTGCAAAGGGGAAGAATCCTCGGCAAACTGTCTTTGGTGGTTGTTAAACAAACATGATCAAACATTAGGAGAACGCCGAAAACCTTCACCACTGAAGACACACACCGGCCAAGCGGCCAAGTCCTTTTGCCCTCCTATCATGGTGCTGGTTTCTCTGAGTCTGCAGATTTGGCATGATCCATACCTACACCATTCTACAGTATAGATTATAGATCATTATGTCTATCGGAGTGACATCATGATTCATCATGTAAAAATATGTACTTAATAAGATTACGAAATGATACAACACTAATATGTTTGCCACCTCCAACACACAATTCATTTCCACTCTATCACATGATATCATGTTGTATCGCCCAGGGGAGGCCGCCGGTTTGTCCTCCATTGGGTCATCGTCGGCGATGGTTTGTCAACACACTGGAAGCCTCAGGCGCAATTCAATGTCCGGTAGGGGCAACTAGAAAACTATAATATTGCATCATATTGCATCATCAAATGTTCTGCAAGTACCCATGAACAATCCTAAACGATCCTAAACGTCCAGTTCCCACATTGGTTGTCCAATTTCAAAATGCATGGCCAGCCCTCTCCAACTGCGAGTCTGAGGACGATGCAGGTAGCCTTACTGCTCTATACCGCACGTAGGGCGAATCCTCCCCAAAGACTGGCAATCCATTTGCGGTTCTTGAGACTGCTTAAGGTTGAAGATCCAACCCAATATGAAACATTATGAAACTATGATAATTACGTGTATAAAAATATGATAACATATGCATATTATTGCAAGCACATCTGTTGAGCAGAACATCGAGCAAACGCATTATGTCCGCCAAATATCGCCAAATCATGTACGCAGTGGGAAAGCAGTCGTCAATCAGCCCTCTTACATCCTCTTACTAATGTCTGCCGAATTTCAGTCAACAGGGGACTGAGTCTAGTCGTTCACACTACTCCGGAAATTGCGCAATGACATGAGAGTACTTTCCAAATATGGATGTCTGAAAATGGGGCAACAACCTTAAACAAATCTTAAACATTCTTAAACAACTAAACGGGGGAAGTATGGGACAGCAATGATGAATGATGAACGGTTGGATTTTGGAGACCTAATCGTTGACCAAAACTCTCAACCAGTCCGGAGGAGGTGCACTTCGCTGCCTCAGATCTGGCGCAAAGAAGTCGAAGCTAAATCCCCCCTGCGGAGGTGAAGCTTCCAGCCACTACAGTTCAGACTTCTTAAATCCTCTAGGATGCCATTTTCGTTGATGAATTTAATATGTTTTCTTTATGATTTGCAGATATGTGTTTGTGTTCTTGTTTAAATGGTTTTCCATAAGAAAATGGACAATTTTTTTTATGGTTTTGGATATGGTCTTGAATATTGTTTTGATATTGTTTTGGATGATTTTGGGTATGTTTTGAAATTGGTGTCCCTTTCCAAGAAGCTTTTCTCACCCTAGAATCTGATTTTTAGCAAATTGTATCAAAATTGTAATAGCATCGTATTTCTCATCAAGGTACCCAGAATCTGGTTTTCAGCAAAAACCTCGATAAAGCTTCGATTTCTTTTACGAATTTGATATGATGTTGGTAGGGTGTCCCTTTCCAAGAAGCCTTTCCAACCCTAGAATCTGATTTTTAGCTAAACTTGTATCAAAATCGTTAAAAAATCGTAAATGGCATCAAGGTACCCAGCAGAATCTGTTTTTTAGCCAAAAACTCGAGAAATTTATGTTTATTTTTTCAATTTGAACCGAATTTGGCAGTGTTGCCCTTTCCAAGAAGCCTTTCCAGCCCTTAACCATAAACCATTAAAAGATATTAAAAGAACGTGTAAAAACCATCAAAAAACATATCGAATATCCAACACCATAAAAAAATATATCCAAAACCATACCCGAAACGGTCAAGAAACATAAGTATTCATAAGTTATTTTTTTTCCCGATCGTACCCAAAACAATATCGAAATCCATATCCACAATTTGAACCCATAAAAAAAAAAAACACAGAGGGAATCATGAAACCATTAAAGAAATATTTTGAACACCCTTCATCCAAGAGACTTAGGAACTCTGACCACTACACTCACTACAGCAAGAGTAAAACATGTAAAACCACTGCTACTAGTATGATTCATAAGACTCTATAATCTATATAATATATCATAGCATATATCAGGACACTCTTGAAATACAGCAATACTAGCTGCGACCTGCTGCAACAAAGTATAGGATCTCTTTTCGAGTCGACACTCTAAGTTCCCAACAACGGAACTGGAGGGGGCGATACCTTCCGATTGGGCGTTCACTGCCAAGTTGTTGTTGTTTTTAAACATCAGCGCTTTAAGCCAGGACCCTTTTCAATGACGAATTGAAACATGCATTACAATTGTGATGCACTATAGACAGTGGGAAATCTGTGGAACACACACAAATCTAGACAATTATATCTAATCAATTATATATAATTATATAATTGCAATATGCCTTGAAGCGTTGATCCGCGATTGGTAGCTCCACTTGGCTTGGTCAATGCGCGGCGCACTGCTCGTGCTGCTTGTACCACTCGGACATTGCGAGGTGGACTGAGCTGTGGCATTTTGGCTTCAGACTGCGGTGCATCTTTTGGGTTTTTTCAGTTGCTTCAAATCAAACGTTTCAAAGCAGCTTATTGCACAGGCCACAACTTTTCAAAGCAGGCTCAAAATTTAAACATATTTAAACTATTCTAAACTATCATGTTCCAGCCAATACATATCTTACATTCGTGCACTGCAAAACATCTGCTTGTACCCACTGTACCATTTCTCTCCATTTCATGAAACCCCGAGGCCAGCACACATAGCCAGCAGGCCTCGCGGAAGAGGAATGGAGATGTTGAATGATGTTGATACGCTATAAATAATTACGTTTGAATTGTGTATCCTTAACTTGTTCGTGAGCTTCTGAATGAGCACCGTTGAAACATTTTGAAACAAAATATAATTATATGACATTATATGATATAATATGATATATATATAATATGGGTTTGCTTTGCATTTTGTTACTCAATATATTCAATATTATCGTTGACCGGCGTCAGGAAAATCAGTACCTGCGACTTGGGATCTGGCACCAGAATTGCAAATTAAGCCCAGCGCGGGGTGGTTGCAACTTTGACCTCAAAGGGACTCGTAGATCTGTCAATGAGATGTTGGACAGTTAGAGAAAACGTCTTGAACACAGCATATACCCAAAGAGTCCGTAAATTGGAAACCAATCCCTGAGCAGTACAGTATCTAGGAATCTAGGAGCTTCCTGGCTGGATCCATCAGTCACCAAATCAAGCTCTTTTCAAGCATCAGAAACATCCAGAAACCAATCTTAAGGCCTGGGCCACAGCAGAGTTTCCCAACATTAGACCAGGTTCAACAGGGACCATCGGGACAGACCTGGCAGGTTCGTCCGATGTCGTTTGAAAATTTGCTCAACTGTTCTCATCCATATTCTATGTTGTTCCAACGCGTTTTGAGAAAGAACCTGCTTCTGTTGTCTGTCCTAAAGCAATAAAAGTGTCGACATTATTATTTATAATATAAAATGATATTTATATATATATATATATATGTAAAGAGATACATAAAATAATATATATATATATAATTCAATAATATATATAATTATATATATATATACACACTGTAGTACGTACAATATGTCTGATCAACATTGTTAGAAATTCTGTTGTTCCAAAGCAAGGAAAAATAAACGAGGGTGTAATTGGACTTCCAAGTGGACAGCCTGTGTTGCAAG